AGCGCACCACCAGCTTGGTGTCATCTGCAAACTTGCTGAGGGTGCGCTTGATCCCACTGTCTATGTCATTGATGAAGATATTATACAGTACTGGTCCCGATACAGACCCCTGCAGAGCACCACTCGTCACCAATCTCCATTCAAATCCACAGAAAATTTGTATTTTTACATCAAATTGAAATCAAAACACATTATACATTGCACTATATTGTAATGCACAAGGTGGTTCCAAATAAACCAACCCTATAAAATAAATGTCTGCCTGCAGTAACATTATGTGCAAAAACTGACACTCCTTGCAAATGATTACTTTAAATACTAGATTATCACTGAAGAACCTACGTATACTGTGATGGTTGTGAGCTAGGAGTTCTGGTCTACTTTGTTAGGATTCAAATCATGCTGATCTTAAGAGCGGATAGGAAAAAATTCTAGTCTCTAGCAGTACTGAGGACTAGAACGAAAGACCTGTCTCCACAGAAACAAGATGTTTTCTTCATCAAAGCCTATTTAAGAAGTTGCCATCTCTTTTCTCCTTTTGCTTGCCTTCTTTGTTGTTCCAACAGAATATTTGTGGGGCCTGCCGTAAACTTGATCAGATTAAAAGAAGAAACTAGAGCATGGTTTGTTTGTTTTATTTAAAAAAAAAAAAAAAACATTTAAAAAAAAAAAAAAAAAAATCTGGTCACTCTGCTAAACCAGTATACACTATAGCACCCCACATAGCTTGTACTGGCACAACTGAAGGGTTAACAAACTGCAGTGCTGAGGTGGCAGTTTCTTAAACCAGCACTGCTACTGGACAAATTAAATCAAATTACACCCTCAGGACAGATGATCCAAATTAGCTTTATCTCAGAATGCCAAAAAATAGTAATAAGTAAGTTTGCTAAAGGCACGTGGAGAGGCTTGCAGTCTTCTTAATCTGATTTAGATTAATTCAAAAGTGTGTTAAGATGCTTCAGAGATGAATGTACACAGTTCTTTCTCTGTGGCTTCAACACGTCCACAAATTCAGGGAGTTAACACTGCAAGAAGTTTGCACACAGAAAGTTCTCAGAAGCTTAAAGATTCTTGTGGGTTTGGGTTTTCACTAAATTTCACCAAAACTGACAAGTAAGGCCTGTAAGAATAGAAAGAACTACCAAATTACGTCAGATCAAAGGCCCATCTCAGCTCAGTGGCAAATGCCTACGTACCTTGCATAAGGAAACCACACACACTTCCCCTAGTGGTCCTCAGAGCTCCTGGCAATCTGCACTTAAGGACCAAAGGCTAAGTTTTTCATTTAAAAGCTATTGGCCTAGTTTCCCTGAATTTGGCTATTCCTTTTCTGAATCCATTTATGCCTTTGGCCTCCAGAACATCCTGTTAAATTAGTTCAACAATTTAAGCTTTGGACTGTTAAAAAAAAGAAAAGGCTGCCTTTTAACTATTGTAAGATTATATGATCATTATGAAAGCTTGTTTGTTCTAATATCATATGTAA